GGAGGAACACTGGCAGGGTCCTTGTCCTCTCCGCCCCATTCTGAAGGAGTAAAAAGGGTGCTGGGGGGAGGGACCCCCTGGCTCACACGGTGTTGTCCCGGGCGTCACAGGTACTGGACCGAATCCGGGCAAAGTCTCCCGGAACTAAGTCTCCACGGGGAGAACTGACCAGGCTCCACCGCTTCCAAATTGGCTTGGCCCCGGGATGGGGCGGGGCCTAAAAGGGAAGGACCCCCAAAGCGGCGCGGAGTCGGAGGGATGGGCGGGACCAAATCGTGTGGAAGGCGTGGCCAGGGTAGAGGGTGGGACTAAAGGGGCGTGATCAGCAGAGGTATCTGGAGGGAAGGGGCCAGAGGAGAGTGGGCCGGGGAAGAGGGGCGGGGCTAGGCAATGCTTCAGAGAACTTGGGTCAGGACGGTTCGGACCCGACCAGGGCCGGAGTCAGTCGCAAGGCAGCTAGGGAGACGACGGGTCGGGCGAGAAGCCTCGGCTCTGCTAGGAATGGCGTCTCTCTGGCTCTGATTGGCCAGAACCGCTTTTGCACGTGACCCCGGAGCCAATCGCGGCTGCCCGCTCAGTACGGAGGGTGGGATGAGTTGGGTAAGTGCTGGTGCGGCGGGGAGGGGCGGGGCGGGGCCTGAGCCCCCTCAGTCCCCGGCGATCCTTCCAAGTCCCAGGCCTGCCAGGGACCAGATGGTGTGGGCAGGTGGCCCAGACCCAGGGTTCCGGCCCTGCTGGCTCCGCGGGGACAGCAGGGTTTGTCTCGCTGCGGATTAGTAGATCTGGACAAAATGGTCCTTAATTGCCGCGCCTTTTAGCGTGCCTCCGGGGGTGGGATGGCTGGGTGACTGGCTCTGCCTTCCGCGGGAACCCGGAGGGGCCGGGTCCGCTCTGGGAGCCAAGGTATCTTCGTGGCGTGGGTGTTATCCCTTTGCTGCGTGGGAAGCGAGCCACAGGGCTGGGGAGGCGGCAAGACCCCCAGAGGGGAGGCGGGCTGGGGTTCGGTGTCATCTGGTCTCAGCCCCAGCCCTGAAGAATGTGGGACACAGAGCTGAAGAGGAGATGGACCCTCAGGACTGAGCTGGACAGAGCAGTGTGGAGCTTGGACCCCAAGCTTGCCCAGGTGTGAATGCCTGGGCTGTCACTGGCTCTGAAGGACAGCTGCCTTCCAGTTGGGGATGACTAGCAGGGCTTACACTCAGGAGGATGTGTCAGACCTTGGGGGCCCCCAGGAGTTGCCCTCGCAAGAGGAGGTACCTTCTACCTGACAGGGCAGGAAGGTGTCACCCAACTGAAGTGGGGCCTTGGACAGACGGCCACATGGTGTGAAATCACTGTTTATTGGCTGTGATTCTATCCAGAGAGAACACACAGAGCCTCTGACATGCAGGGGAAGGTGCAGGTGCAGGGAAAGACAGACGCGACACCCATGGTCTCGCTAAGCTCAGTGGCCCTGGGCACCCATGCATCGGCCACAAGATATGGGGGTTGACACGAGAGAACGCCCAGGCTGCTCAGAGCTGGCTTTTCATCATGTGGAGACAAGCATTTAAAAAAGATGTGGACCCAGGAGGAGCGGAGGGCGGTGGGGCGAGCAGGGTGCTGGCACCAAGCGTGCTTCGCCTCTTTGGACAGAGGGGTATTTGCAGTTAGTATTGCAGTCTAATTGATATGGCTTCTCTAAGAGCTATGTAAGGTCATGAGGGTCAGTGTCATGCCCTGGCCCTGGCCTGCCATCCGTGGACACTGAATGCAGTTTTGATGTGGACAGAAAGGGCCGGGGCCCGGGGCCAGGGTGACAGCCTTCCTGTCAAGATATAACTCATTAAATACCGAAGACCTCATTTACCTGAGATTTGACATATTGTGATGCAAATTAAACAGGGGTGGAGGCGGGCACAGGAGGGCAGGATGCAGGACACTGGGGTATTTCTGCCAAGTCTCTCTGGTCTGTTGGTCTGGGTACAGGCAGCCCCTCAGCCCCTACCCTGGGGCCCACATCCACCTGCCAAGCACGGCACAACACTTTGGAGGAAGGGCAGGGACAGTTGAGCCCCCTCCCCCGCTTCTGTCTCCCCTGGATGTTCTCAGGCCTCCCAAGCACTGGAGTGTGGGTGCCCCTGGGCAAGGGCAGGAGCCCCTCAGGGAACCAGCAGGTGCAGGGAGAGGCAGATCTTGAGTGTGCACTGCAGGCCTGTCTGAGAACCCCAGACCTGTTTCTTTGTTTCCCCTGGTTAAGATGGCATTCCTAAGAGGCCGAGGTGAACTTTGCACATGACGGAGGGAGGAACGGAAAGAGACCCTTGGACACAAAGCGAGGCCTGGGCGGGGTACTGTGGTCAGTTGACAGGAAGACAGAAGTGGGGTCCATCAGGCCCAGCAACCCAGGTCCCATGTGGTGGGCCAGGCGCCGCTGCTGCCCAGGCCCAGACACCCACCCCCCACTATGGCTGTGCTCCTGATTTTGAGCCCCATGGGTGCCCATGATGCATGGGCCAAGCCCAGGGTGGGCAAGGGGCTGGCCCTGGGATGACCTTGGGCTGGTGGGGATGGTGATACAAGAGCAGTGGGGATCTGGCCAGCATGGAATGGGCTGTGACCTGGGCCTCGGCAAGGGTAGCAGGGATGGTGTGAGAGGGGCATGGGCAGAGTGGACCTAGGACTATGGCTTATAGTGGCATGGGGGCCGTGCTGCTCCCGATGTCCCTGGGGGCCTCCGCGAGGGTCTGTACAGGGGCGCGCAGGGGCTCCGGCTCCCAGATGTTCAGGGTGTTACTTCTTGAACATGTCCTGCAGTGGCCCAGGCAGGTACTTGATGACCGTGTCCAGGATGCTCTCGTCTTCCTCTTCTGGCTCATCACCACAGCCCGGTGGGATGGCCTTCTTGGGCCGTGTCAGGCTGCCCTCCGAGTTGGCCTCCATGGCTGCCTGGGCCTCGGCCTCACGCTCCTCCTTTTTCTTGATGCCATACTGTGGGGAGAGGAGGCCGGACAGCTGGCACCCAGAGAGGAAGGCCCGAGAGAAGCCCCAGCCCACAGATTATGGGGAGCATCTGAGAGCTGCCCTAGGTAGAGAGGGCAGGGTCTGCAGGTTGGTGGCTCCCTGTGAGGTGGACCTGCCCACGAGTCCTACACCCCAGGCCTGGCCAGGCTCCTTCACTGCAGCAGGGAGGCAGCCTCACCAGGACCATGGCCCTGCATCCTCCCTAGATGCAGCCTCGGCAACATAGCAAGACACCAGGGCCCTCCTGCCATCTGTGTCTCCTGCTTGCCTGTGCCCACGGTCCCTCTGCGGTGGGTGCAACGTGTCACCTTGAACTTTGAGGGTGACTGTATTTGGAAACAGGGTTTTCATAGATGTAACTAAAGCAAGTAGGGAGACGAGATCATCCTAGGGGGCCCTAAGTCCAATGAGAGCATCTTATGAGATACAGAAAGAACACTCAGACTCAGGGTGGGCAGGCTTGGGAGGGCATTGCCACACAGAAGCCACTCAGAGCTGGAAGTGGCAGGAGGGACCTCCCCAGGCCTATGAAACCCAGGGAATGAATTTTGGCTGGGAGGTACCTGGCTTTGGCGCCTCCACATCCACCCTGCCCCCAGCCTTCCTAGAGTGAGCGTAGGGAGCCTGGGCCTGGGAAAGCCAAAGCCTGGCAGCAAATGTGAAGTGGGAAGAGCAGAGTAAGCTGGGCCCCAGGGTCCTGGGGTCCTGAGCCTCAGGTTCGAGAAGCCATCTGAGCAGGGAGGGGTGCCCTGCATTTGAGGACGCAAAGGCACCGAGTGCAGACCATTAGAGGAGGTGTCCCTGTGTCCCCCTCCCCTTTGGGAGCAGCTGTCCACTCCCCCGGGGGGATGTGGGTGTCTCCAGATACAGGATAAGCAAAGGCCACTTCCAGCTGGGATCCCAGGGCACCATCCCCCAGCCCCAGGACCACAGTGCTGTGTAGGGTCTTCTTGAGGCTTCTAGGGCAGAGAAGGGCTGGCGAAAACCACTATGTTGCCCAATGCCCCGTGGGCACAGGATAGCACCATGGGCCAGTGTGGTGAGAGGGCTGGGGTGGTCCTGTTCCTGGGTTGGCTCCAGGGCTGGAGGGAGGGAGGCCCTGTGCCCAGGGTCCTGTGGGCTCTGCGTGGGCTGGGAGAGGCAGCAGAAAACAGGTCAGGCCTCACCAGCCTCTCTAGCCAGGGCACAGATGCCACTCCTGCCACGTGGAGGTATCTGGAGGGTGTGGATCAGGGAGGACTGGCCCCTGCAGGGCTGAGTCTCCAGGGAGTGGTGCTGGAGACACAGCTGGGCATAGATGTAACTAGGGCTGCCTGGGCCGACCCTGAGTGTCCAGGTTATTTGGTAGGAAGGGGACCAGGCTGCCTCAAGTCAAAAGCCAGCTCCACCTGAGCCAGAGTCCACGATGCCACATGACTGCACCCAGCAGCGACACCCGGAGTGCACAGCTGCCCACCCACCGGACGGCCGCCCACCCACTCTGACAATTTCAGAAACACTGGGCCCCTCCGGGCTCCTGACCCCACGCTTTGAGCCATGGGAGCAAACCCTGGCCAGGTGTCCTTCCCGCAGCTCTTCCCTTGGAGTCAGGTCCCTGGGCCCCCAGGACAGGTCAGCCCCACTGCAGGAGCGGAAAGTGCCTACCCTGCAACGTGAGCGACACAGATAGGGACGCCAGGGACGCTGCAGTGTCCCTGTCCTCTCCCGCCTGGCATTGCCCCCGAGCTGTGCGTAGATGGGAGGGGACCCGGGCCAGCCTGAGGAGGGAGACAACCTCTGCCCCGCGCCCTGCCCACCTTGTCGCGGATGCCCTGCCTCATGACCTCACGCTCGGCCTCCATCTTGGCGTACTTGGCCTTGCGCTCCTCCTCCGCCTGCCGCAGCGCTTCCTGGCGCTCCTCCTCCTTCTTGGCAGCATCAGGATCCTTCTCCTCGTCCCCCCCCAGCATCTTCCCCATGTCCTTGGTGGCTCCTGGGGACAAAGAAGGCAGAGGCAGTGCTGAGCCGGAACCCCCATCCGGCCCTCTCCGGTGTCCTGGGGTCTCCCTGCCAACACCCCTCACGGGAAGGGGCGAGTGCTGTCTGGTGAGCGTCTGTCGCTGTCAGTGGTGTGTGTGTCGATGTATAGGTGGGCAGCAGCTGTGTGTGAAGGTGATTCGGACTTGAAGATGTGGCTGTGTTGTGGTTGTGTGTCCATGTGTGCATCTGTGTACAGTTGTGCGTCTGCTCGTGTCTGTGTGTCTTCCTAGTCCCGTATGTAGCCTCCCCTGGGCAGCGCAGGCCAGGGTGCAGGTGGGGCCCAGGTCCGTGGCAGGAAGCTTCAGCCAGGGCCGCCACACCCTCAGCTGGGCAGGCGCTGCCTGTGGCTGGCAGGAGGCCTTCCTGCTGTCAGCTCCTGACTCAGCCCCCACAGCCCTCCCTGTGCACCCTGTGGCTCAGCCCACAGGACAGAAACATGTGATTTGGCCTCCCCAGCAGCACCTGAGCCCTGGCCTCTGGCTGCTCTGGAGAGCAGAGCAGCAGGGCAAAGGAGCACAGAATCAGACATGCTCAGCACTGGGATCAGCCCAGGATTGGCTCCTGCCTGTCTGGCACAGGAGCAGGAAGCCACCCAGCCTCTGTACCCAGGCCCAGCGCCCCACCATCCATCCCCACGATGCCTTGGCCGTGCCAGGCACCAGTGCCACACCCTTTCTGATTCCAGCCCTGCCGAGCAGCACCCACACAGAGGAGATCAGAGACCAGAGGTATAAACCAAAGGTTAGGGTAAATCCTCAGAGAGGGCTGGGTGGTTCACACGACCATACGGTCCCGGAACCCAGCAGCCCTGAAGTCTCCTGCACCACCCTTGGCTGGTGGACTCTGCCCAGGTACAGCACTCTGTACTGCTCTGTATGGAGCAGCACCCGGAGCCTGAGGGACCTGGAGGCTGAGGTCCCTCCCCTCAGCACCCAGCAGAGACCACCCTGCCTGTGCAGGCTGTGGGTAGAAATGAACCCGGCGATCACCATGCACTCACCTCCCCTGATACTCCCGCTGCCTGGAACCATCCCAAGTGTGGGGAGACACAACCATCGTGTCACTGACAGGGTCAGCATCCCCTGCAGGGCACCGGCCTGGGAATGGGCTGCCAGGACCACACTGGCCATGGCAGCTGTCCTGCTCAGAGCCAGCCTGTCCTTGCCACCAATGGCCATGAAAATGCACCCTCCTGCATCCCGGTGGAGGCAGTGGCTGGCAGAAAGGCAGGCAGCCTGGAGAGGTTCCGAGTGCAGAGCCTGATGGAGGGCAGGCATGAGTGGGTCCTGCCCTCCTCCCCACAGATACGCAGTCTCCGCTTGTTTCAGCAGCAGCCCCAGCACACTCACAGCCACCATGGCACAGCCAAGGCAGGAGACCCCAGGCCATGGAGGACAGAGGGCTGCAGCCAGACTGGCACTCAGCCAACGATCTAAACAGATGGCATGTGTGTTTTCCATGCTCTCATAAAATGCTACACAGAGCAATCACATGTTAGTCCACTTTGATCCCAGAAAATTGGAGGCTGAGGCAGGAGGATCTCAAATTTGAGGCCATGCTAGGCAACTTATCAAGACCCCAGCTTAACATAAAAAATAAAAAGGGGTAGGGATGGAGCTTAGAACAGGCCTCATGTTCGTACATACTCGTTCATACACACACAGAGGCTACAGCACATTGGAGTACCACCTCACACTGCTAAAATGGCTACTACAAAAAGTGTTTGGGGCCAGGACGTAGCTCAGCGGCACTGCACTTGCCTGGCAAGCTCAAGGTCGTGAGTTCGATCCCCGGTACCAAAAATGTAGAAAAAGTGTGGTCAAAGATATGGAGGAATTAGAACCCAGTGGGGTGGCAGTGTATGTGGTGCCACTGCCATGGGAAGCCGTGTGGTGGCCCACAGAGTGTGAAACCTGCTGCGACCACAGCGTCACCATGAGACCTGGCTGCCCCGCTTCTGGGCACAGACACGGCAGAGCTGGAGCAGGAACTCGAGCTGCACACTGTGCTCCCAGCAGTGCTGTCCTCAGGGTGGAGAGCAGAGGGCCCCTGTGCACCGCACGACCCTCCACACAGCCTCAGACCCGAGGAGAAGGTGGGCAGGGGAGAGGACACATCAGACTCACCTGGTCAGACTCAGGTTGGAGCGGGAAGTGCCTGCCAGGTTGGTAAGGGGTGGGTGGCACACCATGGGGACAGGGAGCCCTCTGGAAGGAGACATGGGCTGAACAACACAGGCAGTGTGTCTGATGCCGTGAACCTGCACACTTTAAAACTAGTTAAAAGGGGCTGGGGATTTAGCTCAGTGGTTCCGCCTCCTGCTTCGCAAGTGCAAGGTCCAGAGTTCGACCCCGGTACCAAAAGCAATAATAATAATAAAGCTAGTTAAAAGGGTGATATTTCTGTTCTCTCTGTCATAATAAAGAGAGAAATACACACTTTGAGTGACTTAGAATTAGATCTCTGAGGAACATGCTGAGCCACAGAGATGGCCTCCATGACCCTCAACTAAGGACAAGTCTGCAACCCGCCACCCAGCCACAGTGCTAGGTCCCTGTCAGCTGTGACTAGCAGGACCAGGAAAGGCAGGCAGGGCTCAGTGAGAGAAGACAAACGAGTTGGAGAACCCTGAAGTCAGGAAATGAGCCAGGGCCCTCGGCAGGAAGGACATGGATGTAGAACACCCCCCAGACACACCCTGAGCCTTTAGCAAAATGCGTTTCCAAAAGTATGTAAAAAGCTGAGAATGATGTCTAAGAATTCACAGATGGGATCACTCAGATATTCAAGCAACAGATAATTCCCACGATATTTAGAACGCTCTTGGAATGGAGGAAAAAAGGAAATCCTCCAGGTTATTTTTATGAAATTAGCATAAGAGTGATGCCAAGTCAGCTGGGGAGGTGTGGAGAGAGAAACCAAGGCAGAGAGACAGAGACACAGACACAGACAGAGACAGAGGCCAATGCAGAGAGAGAAAGAGACAGAAAGAGAGAGAGGCAGAGAGACAGAAGGAGACAGAGCAGTGCCCAGGCCTGGGGTGGACACCAGCCAAATGTTACAGCAGAGATGGGCAGAGGATGCCACTCAAGCACCCCCGTGTCTCTGCAGCTAGGCGGGCAGGGGTGGCGGCCAGGCTGGCTGAACCTCCCTGTTCTCTGGAAAGGACTCTGGGGTGGCCCACGGGGAGGGGCCGGGGAGCCCAACCTACAAAGGCTGACGGTGGGGACACCTCAGCATGTGCTTGGCACAAGACCGTGATGTGCACAGACTAAGCCCAACACAGTGTCCCGGGGGCCCTGGTGCCTGTGTGGCTCCTCTTAGCTGTACCCTCATGATTCTGATCTGCTCCTCACTCTAAAGCAGCCAAGCAAGCCAGGCACGGTGCATGCCAGTACGCCCAGCTATCTGGGAGGCTGGGGCAGGAGAATCCAAAGTTTGAATCCAGCTGGGGCAACTTAGTGACTCAGTGAGACTCTGTCTCGTAAATTAAAAATTAGCAAAAAGGCTGAGACTGTAGCTCTATATGAAGTGCCCAAGTTCAATTCTCAGAATGAAAGGAAAAGAGGGGCAAAAAGAAGGAGGCAGGAAGGGAAAGGAACAACTGAGCTTTCCGAAGTGACCACACCACTTTCAGCGCCCCGGCCAGGGAGGACAGGAGCAACCTGCACCTCCCACAGCGAATGGCTTTCCTGCCCTTATCGGTCCTCCTGTCTGCCTCTGGGAGCAGCTATTCTAGCGCCCAGCATGTGTTCAGGACAGATGCCAGGGACAGTTTTCAGTTCACAGAATAACCACAGAGAGGCAGGGCAGAGCGCTGGGCCTGCCCTGTCCGCACGTCCGCCTCCCCCTCAGAGGTTCCCCGCAAGGACACGCTGCTCACTGGCGTCCACTCTCCATTTGGGCCTCCTTCAGTCCCGCCCAGGACGGCCAGGATGCGGGGTCATCACGGCTCCAGAGTCCCCTGGTCGGGACCGCGGCAGCCCGAAGTGCGCCGGTCTCCTTCGTGACGGTTTGTGTGCTGCGCTCCTCACCACTGATCGTGTTCGCCTCGCGCCCTCGTCCCAGAAGTGTGGCCTGAGGTCCCTGGCTGGGCGGTCAGACGTCTGCCCTGAAGCCACCTCCACCCACCGCACCCTTGCGGAGGAAGCGTAGTCCACCCGCCACCCACCCCGGAGCCCTGTGCCCGGATCACCGCCCACTTCCGTCAGCTTCGGGCTGCTGCCAGTGGGTTTGGCGTAGCATCGCTGAGTGGCAGGAGTTCTTCATCCATCTAGATACAAATCCTGTCAGACATGCGGCTTGCTAGTATTTTATCTTGATCTGTGCATCCTTTTGTTTGTTTAGATTTATATTTTATTCTCTTTAATTATTTGCTTTATTAAACTTTTTTTTGTCACCAGGGATCAAACTCAGGACCTTGCACTTGCCAAGCAGGCAGGGTGCCACAGAGCTGCTTCCCCAGCCCAAAACTTTTATGTGTTTTTATAACCTTTGAGGTGCGATCTTGTTATGGTCCAGGCTGCTGTCAATCTCCTGGACTCAGGTAATCCTCCTGCCTCATCCTCCCACTTGGAACTGCACCCTGCTCATTAAAAAATTTTTTTTAAATTATGTGTTTTCAGAAAGGTTGTCAAATTCATTGGCCTGAAGTTGTTTATAATACTCACACATTGTTCTTTCAGTATATGTAGAATCCGCAGTGATGTCGAGACACCAACTTCCATGTGGGTCAAGTGTCTTTGCTCTTATTCTGATCGGTCTGGTTATTGGTTTTATTGGTCTTCTTGAAGACCGCCTTTGGCTTACTTCCCATTTTATTAATTTCTGCTCTCGTCTTTATTTCCCTCTTTCTTCTGCTAACGTTGGGTTCTACTTGCCGCTCTTCTTCCAGGTCTGCACTGAAAGCTGAAGCTAATGGTCTGCGCCAGCCGCTCTCCATTTCGGGAGCGTGTTTCAGGGTCCGCGGCTCTGCCAAGTGCCGCATCAGCCCCATGCACTGCGACTATCTTTTTCTTGTTGCTCATTTCCATTCTACTCAAGACACAGCAGCAGAAAGCTATCAACACATTTCTCTTGTTTACTTCCCGTTTCATTCTGCTGTGGTCAGAGGATGTGTTTTGTATGACTCAAACCCTCTCACCTGTGCTGGACTTGTTTTGTACCCCAGAATGTGGTCTACCTTGGCAGGTGTTCTGTGAGTGCCATCCAGCCGGCCGTGTTGAGACACCTGGAATTGTCCATAGGTCAAGTTGGCTGCTGTGTTGTTCCAGCCTTGCATACTCCATAGCTTTTGTCTTTCAGTCTCTGATGGAGTCACACATCTATCCCTACCTGCAATGGTAGGTTTGTCTATTTCTCAGCTGAGCTTTGTCTGTCTTTGTGCATTTGAAGCTCAGCTGTGAGGTGTGGGAGAGTTGACACAGGAAGTGACCTTTGTCCCGATGCTTGTGTTCTGACATGGCTGTGCCCTCTTGACACTGGCACAGCTTGTCCCATGCCACCTTTTCCCATTTGTGTCTCAGATGTATATATAT